CAATTCATCATCATATCGCATTAATTTATTTGAGCTTGAGGACAGCCTTGCCGAAGTTCTTGCCCTGGAGCATACCAATGAAACCCTCGGCGGCGTTGTCAATGCCCTCGGTAACATAAAGCTTGGCCTTGACACTGCCGTCAGCGAGCCACTTCTGGAGGTTCTCCTGGTGCTCCTTGTAGTAGGCAGGGCCAAAGGCGGGGTTTCCGACGAGGAAACCCTCCATCTTGATTTGCTTGGCGATAAGGTTGATAAGACCCTTGACACCTTGGCGCTGGTCGGCGGGGGTGTTGTACTCGGAGATCTAAAGTTGTTAGTCATATGATATTGAAAAAGGTGAAGGAGTTGGCTTACCAGACCGCAGACGGGAACACGGCCACCGACATTGAGGTTGTCGAGAGCAGCCTCGAGATGATCGCCACCGACGTTCTCGAAGTAAATGTCGATACCGTTGGGGGCAAGACGAGGAAGAGCGTCCTTGGGGCTCTCCTTTTTGTAGTTGAAGCCAGCATCGAAACCAAGCTCCTTGGTGATGAAGTCAAGCTTAGCATCATCACCAACGGAACCAATAACAGTGAGACCCTCGCGCTTAGCAATCTGACCAACGATCTGGCCAACAGCACCAGCAGCAGAGCTAATGAAGATAGTCTCGCCCTTCTTAGGCTTACCGATCTGGTGCAGACCAGACCAGGCGGTGAGACCAGGCATGCCCAGAGGACCGAGGAAAAGACCAAGGTCAAGGTTGTGAGGGTTCTGGACCTTTCTCAGGTTGACCTTGGGAAGGGAGTCCTTCTCAATGCGAACGTATTCGGCGATGGGGAGGTAGGCGGTGATGAGATCGCCCTCGGAGTAGTCAGAGGTGTCGCTCTTGATGATCTTGCCAAGAGTGCCGTTGACGATGGGGTCGTTGATCTCGAAGGCGGGAGCGTAAGACTTGACTGTTGTGTCGCGCATCTTTCCGCGGAGGTAGGGATCGAAAGAGGCATATTGAAGCTCGACGATGACACCGCCTTGAGGAGCAGACTCGATATCGATGGGGCGGTCCTCAGTGACGAGATGCTCACCGGCCACGGGGAGACCAGTGGGGATCTTTTTGTAAACGAGAGTCTTGTTCTGTGTCATGTTGGCGGTATGTGAAGTGTTGTGTGAGAAGAGTGTAATGTGAGATGAGATAGAAGTGTATGAGATGAGAATAAAGGGTATACAAGATGAAAGATGAAGTTATGATAGAATATGAGAAAATGAACGACGTCACTGCAACTTTTATAAGACACGGTGCATCAAGTACCGAAGCCACGTCAAAGTGGCGCTGGCATTATACCGAGGCTCACTGGAGCTTGATTTGTAAGGGACAAAAAGCATTGAGAATTTATTCGACAACTAAAACGTCACAGCGCGGGAACGGTCCACATACACGGTGATGTTTCCCAAAGCGGTAATGACCTCATGAATGATGCCATTGAGGTTGAATTTACATCAGCCAATCTACAAGCTGAGGGTGAGTGAGATCTTAAAGAAAGGTGTGTTTATGTTACATGCCGAGGTTTGTTATGTATGCCTTGGCCAATGCAGTAAGATTCTTATCACTTCTACTGTCAGTGAGAATCGTAGTGAGGATTGAGAATAAGACGGAAACGGGAGCGGGGTGCAGGGTGGATGCCCGGATAATTGGCTGAGAATGGACCTGATGCGCTGAACCTCGGTCGGCGTCTCCGTTTCTTTTGGTTGGTCGTGGAATCAAACAGTAGAATTCTTTACAGGCTTCTAGCGCTGTCTATCGTTAAGCAGGGCTCGAGTTTTCGCATTAACGCCGAGTGCTTTCCGGTCTGTTCGCTTCCTCACCGTTATTGAAAAACTGGAGAGAGACGAAAAGTCTGAGGCTGCTGAGTAATGAAACAAGAGTCATGCCCAGTGTCAAACTTGCAAACACTCGAGTCAAGTCATGGTGGCGATATTCGACGTGGCAGTAAACTCTAACAATATTCCAACAACCAATCTAATACCGAATCAACACTCCCGAAGCCCTCAGACATCTGTTTTCGTGATAGCTTCAATCATATCACGCATTTACCCTAATGCATTCCACGCATCAAAGTATAACCGAAACCCGAAAGCTTATTCCTTGCTCTATTTTCATAATCGCATCACCCCACCAGAATATCCAACCGTCCGCGATAAACCTCCCCCGCTAAACTTAGCAGCTTGAAAAACCATAATGACTCGGAAGTCAACCAGGCACGGTGTGACTGAACCATGCAAGGAAACTACAGGAAGATCCAGCCGGCTCCGAGAGACGACGCCGATGAGATCGACCGCAAGTTCCGCGTGGCCAAACGCAAGCGCCAGCATGTCAGGATAGCCTGTAATCCCTGCCGCGATAAGAAACGCGCTGTGAGTCACTTACTGTGTACCGACTCACAATGCCCATGTCAACTAATAGAAGCGAAACAATAAAGTGCAATGGTATAGAACCGACCTGTGATCAGTGTCAAACACGCAGTCTGGCGTGTATCTACCGCGTACCCCCCAAAACAGTTGACTCAACAATCAAGATTCAAAAACAGCTTGATACCCTGCAGCACAGCTTCAATCAATACGCGGATATAGTAGAGCAGCTCAAGACACTGCCGGAGACAGATGCGCTCAAGCTTCTGCAGAGGCTAAGATCCCCGGCGGATGTGAATCGGGCTTTTACGTCGTTGCAGGGGAGTGTACATACCAGGATGCGGCTGTCGAATCACAGGACGGCGCAGGCTATACTGCCGACTACGAGTTCAAGGGTTGAGTTTGAACTCACAGCTTTGCACGGCATTGTCTACCCGACGCTGGTGCCGATTGATATAACGGCTCTGGGGATATCGCCTCTAGAAATGCCAGCGCTTCCTGCGGCGCAAACGGAGACTTCAGTGCACAAGATATCGCCGGCGAGTCCTGTCGTTCTTTCGTCGGATCGGTTTCGTCCGCTTTGCGATAGTCGGCTGGAGGAGATTGACATTTCGTACTGGACAAAGGTTCCGATCAGCAATGAAACTGCCGCGGCGATGATCTCGCTGTTTCTGGAGACGGACCAGACGATCGTGGGGTTTATCGATGCTGATTTATTCGTCGAGAGTCTTGTGGAGCGAAAACTGCAGTTCTGCTCCACGTTTCTCGTCAGCGCGATATTATACGTTGCTTGTGTGGGTGAATTCCAATCCTCAACAAGTACACTCTGAACTGACTCGAATGGCAGCATGCATATACAGCTTCGGATTTGAAATCCGTAGCCCTTGGTCGTCTTTGCTTCCAAGAAACGGAAAGGCTCTTTCGCGCTGAGGGCTCGTTCGACGACCTCATCACCCTCGCGGCCATCAACACCTTCAGCCTCGCCTGTCGCTTCCATGGACATGAGACGCTAGCCAAAGAACTGGTTTCTGCTGCTCGCCACATGGGAAGGAGACTTGGCTTGTACAGTGTGCCGCTGGATAGTCCGTCATCGCTGGCGTTCCAGGAGTTGCCTGATGACTCGGTCCGGATGACCGCACATGTTGCCTGGGGCACTTACAATTGGTTAACGTAAGTGAGTCATCAAAATGGTCTATTCGACATTTTCTGAGAGTTTCATTCAACACAGGATCCATGTTCTGTACTTTCACGATGAGAGTATAGCGATACCGCCTGCTCTACCAATACCTGGACACGAGCGACATGATGACATGTGGCCTCAACATCCGCTGCCTCAATACATGGGCTCCTCATTCACCAAGCTGTGCGAGTACTTCACTGTGATCCAGGAGATAGCCGTGGTATACTCCATAGGGGACGGGAAACCTGTCGCCGATCATGTCCCCATTGCCTTCGCAGAGGCCAAGTACCAGAAAATCTTAGCCTGGGCGGATTCTCTGGGTAAAGACATGGCATGGGATCAAAACAGCCAAGAGCACGTCATGTTATTCCAGTGAGTCTACAAATCCCTTCTTGAGGTATTCCGCTAACTCGATACTCAGTATGTGGTTCCACTGCGCAGTCCTGGATATCTTTCGTCCCTTCGTCCACGGCGGCCAGAAAAACTACATCCTCAAATCCTTCTCCTCCCAGGACAGCACCCCCGAAACCATCTTCTCCGCCTCCCTGAACCAACTAAAACGACTCGCCCTACTCTACCGCACGCAGCAGATGCCCAATAGCTATATGCCCTACATCAACATATCCCTGATCCACATCGCCAACACAATCTGCAGAGAAACAAACGACCCCACAGCCAAGTATTACTTTATCATGTGTATACGCTACTGGCAGCACTTGTATGTAGGATATCCCATATTTGGGGGAATAGCACAGGCGTTCTTGACAATGGCGATAAATAATGGGTTGATCACGAACAGAGAGGCCAAGAGGCTGATGGCGGAGGTTAACGGCCAGGGGGGGCATCATTGGTCGGAAAATGAAGGAATCTCAACGAGTTTGATTGTGGATTTTGACTTGGCTATGACGAATAGGGACGAGGCTGATGTCCAGGCTGTTGCGCAGAAGTTTGAGGAGGTGGCGCTGTTTGATGAGTTTGCGGTGTACAAGAAGGAGGATTAGACAAGCATTTGTTTAAGGAGCGTTTTAGGAGTTATTATACCCTTGTATAGCTTATGGTGTGTATGCTGAGATGCAAACTCGAGATCATATCGCTTTATATAGTTCTTAGTCTCTTCCCTTTATAATACCCTAAGGCTTACAGTAGGATTTATTGGTTATCATCAAAGCTTCTAGGTAATGTAGATATTTCCACTTCGGAGCTTGAATGAGTTGTTGTTTGTACAGTTGCAGATGCGGCTGAGACAAGCACGTGAGGAATGAATTCCGAATCAGGCCGCCGCTTCCTAATTTCCAAAGCGCGTGGCTGTGTTTGTATGAACATCGACCGACTTGGCTTACATGACGCTCTGGCCTGATGTATACTCCAACCCCCATTGCCATTCTAAGACTATGTCATTTTCTGCATTGAATCAACAGTCATTCACCATGATACGATGTGGTCTTCATTGACACGGAAAGGCTACGTGCCGCTTTTATCCCTCAACTCCAGAACACTACGTGCTACATCCCCAAGACGACGACCTCATGGTCCTTTTGACAGTCTATTACTTACCTTCTGCTTTGGCCGTATGTCTCCCGTCCATAGTATCGAGCTTTACTGACTAGGCTCCAGGTAGACTGTCATACAAATACGATACAAGATTAGGTCGAGACTGCATCCGAATCTTTACTCTTGATCCCGGAAACAAGTGCGATGAGCTCCGTGGTACATTGCAGACACATTTGCTCAATGCAGCACCCAAGTACGAAGCTCTCAGATATGTATGGGGCCCTCGCAAACAGACCAAGTCCATCAAATATAACGGTCAAGACTTCAGCATCACCGACAGTCTCGACACAGCTCTTAGACGGCTAAGGCTGTCCGGAAAACCACGTCACAACTCGTCTAACCGACGAGGCATATGTCAATACTTTCATAGCCTTTGCCCTGCAATTTATCATCCAAGCTCACGTATCCCAAGACGACAGAGAACCCGATCAGAGGAGATACCTTGAGCTCGTGAGGCTCGCCGCAGAAGCTATTCCTCTCCCGGTAGAGCCATGTTGGACATCACCCGAGGATTTCGAGTTCTTGGAAAGAATGCTCAAAGCTCTTTATCCGCATGATCTACCAGTTGTGGCGGCTGATTTGGAAATGCTCAGCAGGGTCGACTGTGATTTTGTCATGGGGCCGCAGCGATTCGAAGAGTTGGTTCAAGCTTCTCATGACAGCAAGATGTTTGTTATGGAAACGGGTTATGTTGGTTTCGGACCGCGCTGCATGAGGCCTGGAGATATAGTCTGTGTTCTGTTCGGAGGCAGGACGCCATATGTCATAAGACCAACAGCGGTTGCAGACGAGTACTTGTTTCTTGGGCCAGCTTATGTACATGGCCTTATGGACGGTGAGGCTATTGATGCTTGGGAGAAAGGCAAGTGGACCGAAAACCAAGATATTCAGGAAAGACTGTTCAAACTATTGTAAAGAGCAATAATTCAACACACGGCATGATTGTTTCTTCTTCCATACACCAAAATTGTTAACAAGACAAGCTAAGCAAGGGTATCTATGTAGTTGAGGTTAGGACCTTGTCATACCCGAGCAATGATTGGTCACTCAACAGAATTGGGTGATTCGGGGGCCTGTCATGCCCGGGAGATGATTGATCAGGCCCTGACTTGGCACTTGGACCCTTGAAAAGTCTGACGTAGAGCGAACCTGTCAAAAGGCCTAATTATTAGTTGATACTGCATCGTGTCTGAAAAGTAACCCTAGAAATTTGCAGTCAAAATGGCTCTCCCTCGTCACTCTCTTCGACTTTGCACTTGTACTGCCAACTTTCAACTCTTCAAAACTTCTAAAACTCCATTTATTCGCCGTCGCTTTACGACTAGTTACACAAATTTATTCTTTCACCCTTATTCTCTTAAGATGAATGGCCACGGCGATCTAAACAACTCCCACGCCGGGAGGACTACGGTCCAATTGACTCCCGACCCAGCTCACGCCTATCGGTCCCTCGCCATTGACCCTTCCGATGACATTTCTGAAATTCGAGAGACATACCGTCCGTTTATTCTTAATGACAAGTACATAAAGGATGATTGGGTTGCAGAATTGGAGCTGAGCACAGTTATCCAAATGGTTCAGTCCGAGATTCTCGGTAGAGGCCTAGATCGTCTCCGTATCCTGGTCCTCTACGGTAGTCTGCGGAGTCGGTAGGTGATCTTCCTCAGGCTTGGAAGCTGAATCTTAAGCTCATCTTCCCTCCAGATCATATTCCCGCTTGCTCGCCTTCGAAGCTGCCCGAATCCTCCATCGCTTGGGCTGCGATGTTCGAGTCTACGACCCAGCCGGCCTCCCTCAAAAAGACGATGTTCAACACAATCACCCTAAAGTTCAGGAGCTCCGCGAGTTGAGCAAATGGAGTGATGGTCACGTTTGGATAAGCCCAGAGCAACATGGAAACTTGGTAAGCCCTCAAGGATCCAGCAACTGATGATAAACGCCTAACGCGAGAGCAGACTGGCATCTTCAAACAACAAATCGACTGGATCCCCCTCTCAACCGGCTCAGTCCGTCCAACCCAAGGTCGAACCCTCGCCATCGCCCAAGTCAGCGGCGGCTCGCAATCATTCAACTCGGTCAACTCATTACGGATTCTCGGACGTTGGATGAGAATGTTTACGATACCGAACCAGAGTTCTGTGCCCAAGGCTTATACACAGTTTACATCTGAAGAGGAGGGAAGTCGTATGCTGCCCAGTGGAAATCGTGATCGCCTTGTAGATTGTATGGAAGAGCTTGTGAAGTATACGATTGTAATGAGGCCGCATTTTGACCTGTTTGGGGATCGGTTCAGTGAGAGGGAGGAGAGGAGGGCGAAGGAGGTGGTAAAATAGAAGACATAAAGATACCATGCATGTTGGAGAAATAGATACAGTGAACAGTTCTTGGATGAGACGAAAATGTAGCAGATAGTCAAGGAGATTTCGCTGGGCTGAACGAGGCAGGCCTTGACATGTCGTACCAAAACTCAATTACGACAAGACGGGAACAACAGGTATCAAGATATACAAACTATGGCGGGCTCACTCCGCCAGCTCAATACAAGCAGCAATATCCAACTCTATCTATCAACTGTACAGCGGTAAATCCCAAGGTTACGCCTTCATCATTGCTTCGTCGCTCAACTCTCAAAAGCAGCCCCAGCCCTTGTCTGTTCTCCAATACGCCCGGACAATCCGTCAAAATGACCATGTCCCATATGCACCCCACCAACCCAATGCTAAATGCCCATCCGTTATATTGTATTTTGTGTTGTTGTCTTGTCGCAGTGGGCTCACGCGGCGTCGGCCTCCTGCTCGGCAAGGTTCTCATCTGAGCCTTGCCAATCGTCGCTCTCAAGGCCGTCGCGGCGGATGAAGAGAGATGAGACCCAACCCAAAATGGCCAGACCTCCAAAGATGCTCCAAGCCAATGCCTCGCCCTTAGGTCGAATGTTGATGGACAGACTGAAGAGACCGCCCGACACGAAGGGGCCGAAGCTGCGGCCGAGAGCGGAGAGGGTTTGCGCCATGCCATTGAGGCTACCAAGGCTGGAGTGCGATGGAGCAGAGTTGGTGATCTAGTAATGTTAGCGAGAGCGAATGTGAATGACGGGTAACGTTGGAGGACTCACCAAAAGCATGACACTAGACAGGCCGCCCACGGCGCACAGGTTCTTCAAGATCAATACAACACCAAGCTCAATGTACAGCCACATCTTGCCACTTCCCAGGCCAAACAAAGGCTTGCTATCGGCGTAGCCAACCCACGGCATGAGTAGCATGCTGATACCCAGTCCGAGAAGCGAGATTTGGTAGGTGCCGAGATTACCCAATCTGACCTTGAGCGCTTGGAAGAGGAAGGCCTGGAAAATGCAGCTTGCCAAACCTGCAATGCTCAGACTGATGCCAATCTTACTGGGCAACAAGTCGCGGCCGGCAGGTGGTGGTGTAGCGGCAAAGATTGGGTACAAGCTGTTGAAGGAGATGTTGGAGAGTTGGAAAACGAGATACGTGAACAGAATGAGGATCGTGGTTCGGCTGAGGTCTTTCCATGCGGACATTGCCGGATCCACCTTGTTATCGCTATCGTCGTCGCCATTCTCGGTCTCTTCGTCATCGTCATCGGATTCGAGCGCTCGTCCGGAGGAAAGAAGAGGCTGGTTCTGGGATTGGGATCGAGGCCAGCGCGCGCTCCAAGATGCTCGTCGAGGCGGAGGCGTGGGTGAAGAGAACCAGGAAATAATCCTATCGACCCAGGCGGGCTTCTCAAAGTTGACTTCAGTCTTGTCCAACGTCTCTTCGAACCAGATGCTGACCACCACCACGCTGAGAGCGAGGAGACCGGCAGACAGAATGTTGGGGGCAAGATAAGGGTATTCTTTGCCCATCCTGCCGACAAGAATGCCGCCCAGTGCAGGTCCGGTGATGCTACCAAGGGAGTAGATGACGGGCAGGTATGTGAAAGCGCGGCTCTGGTTGGAGCGGTCCGTGACTTCTCCCAGTACCGTCGGAACACACGCGGCATTTCCATTGAGAAGACCCATTGCTACATGGACAACAACGATCTGCCAGTATTCCTTGCAGAAGCCAAAGACGCAGAAACACCCCATCAAAGCGGTCGTACCCATGATCAGAACTGGCTTACGTCCAATGACATCCGAGGCATATCCCCAGAGGAAGTTGGTCGACAGCTGCGCCAATGCGAAAGAGCTCGCAAGGATTCCGACATATAAGCCGGCCTCGTCATCAGGAATGCCGGGCATATTGAGTACCATTTCAGGTAAATACGGCGATATCGAGTTCAGCGCGGTCTGCTCCGCAAGGGAGAGAAACGCCAACAGCAGCAACTGTCGCACAGGCAAGGGCGTCTCTTCGTGGTCGTCATCATCTTCGGAATCGCTTCCATTCGACGGAGCGTACGGTTGTTCGAGAGGTGTCTTGGGAGGAGTGGTAGGAAAAGTCTGGTATCGATGAGACTGTCGTCGCAGGGAGCTCAGTGTAGGGATCGGCGCGCCAGCATGGAATGAACCAGACGAGGCTGTTCGATTGACAGCCATGACCCTGGCGGCGGCGTTCGAGGAGTTATTTCGTGAGGGCGCCATGATGAACAATTCGTTGCAGTCCAAAGGCCTCTACAGACCTTGAGAAAGTTTAGGAGGATGATCACCTCTCAAGCTTTAGAGGATCGAGTCGAGAGAGTGGTGACGTAGGATGTGCGTAGCGGATCTGGAGATATTTATTTGGCGGGGCTGACACGCGCCACGATGAGAACAAGGCTCTAGCTTGGCATTTGCTTAAGAGTCAATCAAGCCTTGATGAGGTATCCAAGATGATCGACCAACCTTCAATTGAGCTGAGACATCAATGTTGGATTGCTTGCAGTTGATTGATGGCCCGAATATCGGCCGATCGGTCTTTTCTGGGCAGGTGCAGGAAGAAAAGATGCAGGTGATTGTTGTTCCTCCTCGTGAGCCTGTCGCAAGGTACGATCGCTGATGTAATTATGGGGCCACGGCGATCAGCATCCAATTAATCATCGCACCGGGCGGCTTACTCCGGCAAAAGCCAAAAGAAGCTTATCCAAGTTTGTGAGTATTGGCATCGCTCTGTTGAAGATTCGATCGAGATCTTGGTTGCACGTGCTTGCATGCCTTTGGGGAACCCGAAGATATGATGCAATTTGAGGTTGCGGAAGAGATCGATCAAACGCATGGGTGCCTACCCTGTATAACAAGAAGATGAACTGACAAACTATCCACCTTCAATTCACTGCGGATACCAAACGTGCTGGTCGGTGATTTGTCATTGTCTGGAAGGCATTTTACGGTATTCCATTGATGTGACAGTTGCCAACACGGAAGAACTGATCAGTCGCAGTACGTTGCCTGCCACCAACCATGCTCAAAACATGACCTGGTGTTCATCAAACGGACCATGCACTACAATATGAATCTCATGTGAGACTATGAAGGACTTTTACCAACCATTGGGAACGCGAGGCTCTGTTTCTCTGTCTGTCTGATATGAGGGTCGATGCTACCGTCAGTAATGTGAGACAAGATCTCCCTTGCTGTTGGACAATCCACCTGTCGCATTGCTTCATGAGCCCCATTACGGGGCAAGGAATCCATCAAGATAAGCGTAATTGGTTTAGTGGTAAAATTCTCCGTTGCCATTCGAGTAACGTCGGGGAGCCCAGGGTTCGATTCCCTGATTACGCAGTACAAGCTTTTCTTTTGCTCTTTTCGAGTCTCTCATCTCTTTTTGTCGATATCGCGATGTCCTGATCTTGGTGTTTTGAGTTTTGATGCTATGGCCGAGTGGTGGCTGTCTTGTGTGGCGTAAAAAATGCTTAAGTATAATTGGCCAATCCCTCTGCCCTTCCAGTTCGAAACTGATCATCGAACAGGGCAACAGCCGGATTCAGCTGCGGAACAGCTCTCCCGATCTCTATCAGAGCGGTTCTCATGTCCCTGATATTTTGGTTGAGAATTGTCCGTGCAGAAGGATGGTTAATGTAATGAAAGACGCCAATGACTGTGCAGAACCGATCCGGGATGGTCGACTGTCTAAACGTACTTACCATTGAGTTGTCGAGCATAGATTGGAAAGTGTCTTCTGCAATGGGATCCACGGGGCTGTTGGTAGCAATTTGCAAGTTGAAAACACGACCTTTCATTTGATTGAGCTTGCGCTCGCAGAGTGCCATTGGCGGGCGGTAACCCTGCGATCCAAACATGTTTTCGAAGTAATCGTTCGGAGTTCGGAGCGCAATACCAGATCCCCATCTGCGCAAGGTAGTAGGCAGTATTCTGGATCTCCAGTACCGATCTAAATCTGCTGCACTGACATGCGGGTTTCTCGCTGTGCCTCCTCCCGGAAGTTGGCCTGTTCCCAATGTGTGTAAAAAGTCTTGGGTGAATTGCAACTGTGGGCTTCTGTCAGCTTGCGAATAAGCCAAGTAATTAGTGATTGAAACCCACGTCAGGATTGTGTTCAGTATCCCATCCATCCAATCGAGTCTGCCTGCTCAGAGTATCTGCCTCGACCACTATTTCGTCAACCGCTGTGCATCCCTCTGCCAATCTGTAGCACAACATTAGAAATGGAATAACTGTAGACCTAATTCGCTCTCAATATACCTGAAGGCATTATTAGTAGCTGGCAATCCTCTGGTGGGATCGTCCAGATGAGTAGATCCTGGATAACGCATAGCAGCAACGAGTATTTCCCATGTTATACCTAGGTCAACGAAGAAGACCCCGAACCCTCTTCTGCGCCCCGCACGCTTCTCGAAGTCTTGGAAGCCGCGCTCCGAGATCGTTTCTGCTTCCATCGTCAGAAATCTTACTAAAGCGGTCGTACCGGCGTTCCCTGGAACTTACCATTAACATCTAGGGTCCTGGCGACATCAATATCCTCTTTGGAATATTCGTCAGAGAAACCATCAGCCCAAGGATCTTGACCACAGTCTGTGGAACCATCCTCCATACAATAGCACCTGAATTTGTAGCAAATAGGTTCTGGGAGGAAGAATGGGAGTTCTGGATCTCTAGGGACCACTCCCCCGCCATCACCACCACCGCCGCCAGGACACTACACCAAGGTAGAGCCACTGGTAAATAGTATTTAAGGAAGAGATTAATATTCATATAAGTAAATCTGTCTTTTGCTAACTAATATAGGGATAGAACCAGACAAAGGGTACTGGGCTATGTTACAGGTGTCCAAACCATGCTAGGCAGAGAGGGTCAAAGCGCAGATTTGATAGCATCACTGCGCCTTAGAGGCCGTGCTGGACCCTTCTGCGGCTGGGATCATAAATGGATTGCTGTGATTAGTCAATTACCTCTGTCCTCAAATATGAACAGTGTCTCAACGCTAGGATGTTTGTATCTATCAAGGGCTATGGACTGATAATTGTACACCGAAATAATAGCCACTGCCCTGTTGGGATCAGTTAAGCACATATCGTAAGTAATAAAATATTCTCGTCACTAAGAGAGAAGCTTATATCACACAGCGTTTTCTACCCCCCGATATCCAATCATATGCCTGCACTGCACAGCCTGATTGTTGACTTCTGATCAGATCATGTTACAAGTATCAGGCTTCCGAGCAGCCCCATATCACATTGAAAGCGGAAAAAGGAACTGACTATCTCTGTTCAATGCATGGAAAAATTGTAATCACGATGGAAAAGGAACAAGTTTGCTTTTCCCTTGGTCAAAAGCTCCAATCAGACTTGTTTTCCGAATAATCGCCCATCGAGCAGTGACAGTCAAGGCATCCTGCAAGGCGAACCAGGCTTGGACATGGCGCAAATTGATTGGACCACTGTGTTCAAATGTGCAGAACTGGGCCGCATATGCGGTCGCCTTCTGAGTGATGTCTGTCAATGCTGCCCAACCTCTCCAACGCCCAATCTTACTCCTCACTCTCATCCCAAACATCCATAGATTTCATTCCCCATCAGAGTCCAGACGTACTCATCGAACTCGGAGCATAGAGAGTGTGCCGCCCGCAATGGCAACCGGTTTGGAAGCCCTTGGGGCTGCTAGTGCTGTTATTTCATTGATCTCGTTCGCTGGGAGCCTTGCTTCTCTCACCATGAAGATTTATGATGGTATCCCCACTGCCGAGGATGAACTGGAGGCTTACGCGACGAGAATGCTGGATGCAGCTCAACGTGTCAAGTCCCGACAAGTACCCAGAGGAACGCCAGTAAATGACAAACTATCGGAAGTTAGCCAGAAATGTATCGACGCAGCTAGAGAGCTGGAAAACGCAACTCGAAAGATCAGCACTCAAAAGGGCAACAGGCTCAAAGCTTTCTACTCTGCCGTCCGCGCGAAGAAGAATAGGGCGAAGATTGGCGAATTGAATAAGTCTTTGAACCTGTGCAAGGGATTGATGGAAACAGAGATTCTATTAAAGATATGGTAGGTACTCTATTCACTGTCGTCAAGGAGCAAGAAAATATCAGACCTATAGCAAAAGGCCTCCTAAACTTATATTCAGTTACCTGAGTCCTTTTATTATTCAGGATCAAGGCCCTGAGATTTATTTCCTCCCATAACTGTTTATCTAATCAACGCCTGCTAACAGCTTGACGTGAATAGCGATCAGGACACTGCGATAGCACGACAACAGTTCCAAGGATTCCGAAGTCTAGAGGTTGATGTCCAGAACCTCATTCTCAAGATTGCGGAAGGCTATACCAGAGTAGAGCAACTGATCTCCATCGAGGCCCAAGCCACACGGGATGCCATCAACACCCACGTCACATCCGAGTTCAAGGCTTTGGGCATCAAGAACATTTCAGATAACCAACGTCAACGACTCTTGAAAAGTCTCAAGCCCGAAGAAATCAGAGAGAGATATAACGCCGTCCTACCGTCATCGGATGCCTGTTTCGAAAGGGTTTTTGCATCATATGAACGAGTTTGCCGTAACGACACCGGGTACAAAGCCTGGAAAGGTTACGAGCAAGCATTCGGCGATGAAAGGGAGAATGGCAGCGACGATGACAGCGACGACTACAGAGATGAGGGTGGCGACGAAGCAAGGGCCAAAGAGGAAGTCGACGAGATTGATCTGATATGGGAGTGTTTTAGCACCTGGCTGCAGTCGGACAATAAGCTCTTCTGGATTCGAGGAAAGCCAGGATCTGGGAAAAGCACATTGATCAAATTCGTTATCGACAACGAGAACACAAAGCGTTTACTTCGCTCTTGGCACCCAAATACTAGAATTCTGTCGCATTTCTTCTGGAAGATCGGCAGTGAACCTCAGAACAGCATCAGAGGTATGCTGTGTTCCTTGCTTTACAACCTCCTATCAGAAGATCAGGATGCCATCGATAAAGTATTGAGGAATTTCAAATACTCCGAATCGAAAGACTTTTACAAAGAGTGGTCATCTCCAGAAGCAGAGAAAGTCCTCTGGTCCCTTCTAGATGTTTCAGCTCACCCAACCTGCATTTTCGTCGATGGCCTTGACGAAATATCAGACAAGGACGGTTATCAGGCCCTTGTTAGTGCTGTTCAAAGACTTACAACATGTCGAGGAGTCAAGGTCTGTGTATCAAGCCGACCCGAGACAGAGTTGGTCAAAAAGCTCGAAAGTATTGGAGCACAGAACTTACGATTAGAAGACCTCACCAAACCTGAGATGGTCGTATATATACGCCAGGAATTTGAAAGATTGCCACAAAGTCGGTTAGCCGATTTGCTCCTCATGGGTTATACAAGCAGACTTTTGCATAAAGCGCAAGGGGTTTTCCTCTGGCTTGCTCTTGCTACGAAAAGTGTCATCAATGGAATTATGAATGGCGATGACCAGGAAACCCTTTCCCAAAGACTCGAGGAACTTCCAGAAGAGCTTGAGTCCCTTTATCAAACAATGTGGGAGAGGCTGAATGGGGATAATCGAGTTTACCGAGAGACCGCAGCGCGATATTTTCGCTTTGCCATATCCGACGGTTGGGCAACGACTCTAAGGATGGTATCGGTCGAATTCGCGAACTACTCAGATGAGCCCAATTTAGTCCAACTAGCACTCGCAGTAAAGGCCGAAAACCGGTCAATCTTTCCACCTAAGGCCAATGATATGGATCTCTTCGAGCTGAATGATCTGTGTGCTGCGACAGAAAGAGATATCCAGATCCGATGCGCTGGTATGCTACAAGTTGGTCAACGCTCTACTCTTCGCATCAAGGGGTTCCCCGATGCGATGATCCCACTGATGCGACCCGTCCAATTTATTCACCGAACAGTTCACGACTTCCTAGTTGATACAGAGAATGGTCAATCGATTTTGAACTACAGGTCGAATGAGGCAACATTGGTCGACGAAGGCCTCAAACTCCTTATATGCCGGCTCAATCTAGCCAACACGTACTACCGCGAGGTCGGGGTTGTATCAGGTTGCCATGAAGCTCTTGATGACTGCAATCGATTGTATTTCATGGGAGTGAATCCAGATGCTATATTGAAGTTACTTGGAGTAATTAAAGACCTTTATGAGAAAGGTGCTTTGGAGGGCTACATTAGGGTGAGGGGGCCTCCCCGGACCTTTCCATGTATCACAGTATATTATCTGAAGATCTTCGACGATTTTATCATTGCTTCTTTTATGCCGAATCCCTCACCGGAGCTTGCTACCAGCCGCCTTCACGAACTGGCACTTGCAAGTGAATACATGGGAAATTCCGAAATATCAGTCAGGATAATCCGAGGCCTCGTTGAACTTGGTGGAGAGGTACATGCTTTCAAGAGGTCAAATTTGTCATTTGAGCTTCCGGGACATGAAATGACTATAGCCCAACACACCACAGCCTTCGAGTCACTTCTTCGTGGTGCATTAGATTCGTCCCATTGGGGCAACCGTCACAACGCGAGAAGCTCGTTTGTTGGTGTGATGGAATGTCTGGTACAGACCTGCCCGGACTTGCACAGAAAAGTTATCTTATTTCTTGGAAATCTTGGTTTCTTAGTCTCTTATCAACTTCGTGAGGAGCAATTATGGCTCGCGTTGGAGGTCGATCTGCAGTTTCTCATGAGCCGGCTACTGGCCAGCGCCGACTTGGAGAATATCCCAATTGAGTTTAGTACTAAAATCCGCGAACTCGCAGCTTCTTTCACCAAGCCTCATGCACGTTTTCGACATATTGTGCGTCGTCGAGGAGAAGACCCCCGGACTTATTGTTATCGAATCCTCGACCAGGAACCATTCCTGGACATCATTGATAGCCTTGGGAATACTGTAGTGTACCAAATAGCGGTTGAAGCCTTTGAAGACGTCCTGGACGCCAATAACAGTCCTATAGATAGCTCTATCCATTCAGGTAGCTCTATCCATTCAGGTAGCTCTATCCATTCAGGTTCCAATTTTCCACCTGAGTGTTTTGAGGAGGTGCCTATTGAGGAAGAGATGGATATGCTAATACGAGAGGGCATAGGGCTATATAGAGAGGATGATGTAAATGTTAGGTAATAACTTTCCCTTAGTTATAGGGATAGATATAACTATTGATTTTGTCCTTAATAAGAAAACTACGAGAAGTAAACTTAACAAGCTATAGAGATAGCTACTGCCCATAATATTAAGCTTTAAGCTGTAAATAAAGATAATAAAGAAAAATATAATCATTTATTTCCTCTTAATATAAGCTTGTATATAAAAGCTTCTTTAATAATTAGCATATCCTATTATAAGCCTTGAGGTTTTATAAAGGGAGTTTACTTAAATAAATATTATAAGTCTAGAACTGGCAGCCGTTTGGTATCTTTAATTTGCTTCCTAAAGTGAAGCTAAACCGATAGGTAGTATCAATCTAATATAGTAATAGGCTTGATTATGGCTTATGAATTACAAGACGTGTAGATGATCGTACTACCAGTCTCTATCAGAACCCAGTCTCAGGTCTCGGCCAAGTCTTAGAAGCAAGGTATTAGCATATTTATCAATCAATAAACTATAAAGAAAACCCTACAAGACGTATATTCTTAAGATGCATTATCTGTGGGTAGGGTTAATTAAAGCCTTCTCTGGTACCTGAAGCCTCTCCCTCTTGCTGATTATAAGGAATCCAGTTTTAACCAAAACTAAAAGCCTAGGTAGCCGGGGGAAAATATCGTGTTGTCATTCATCATCTGTATTCGCAGCCTAAAGCTTAACCTTATAGGCGGCAGTCATCCCCTTAGTAAAGAGAATATAAAAAAGCCACAACTGGCTGCCAAGCTGAGCGCACTTTTATGAGCACCTTTGAATTACATACAAAGACTTAAGCCATGCAAGAGAGCGCCTTGATGTTGAATTCACCGCTATCAATTGCAACAGCATTCAATATTCTACGTCTTCTTAGCCAAGTGCACCATGGGCTCTACGTGGGCAGTTCTTTTCCTGCCTCTTCTCTCATCTGGCATAGAGATCGTCCCTCGGCATGATGGAGAAGACCACGGTGACAGCGGCACAGCCCACAACCACTCAATGGCCCACGTCCAATTCAACTTCACGCCCTCCGGCATCCCCTGGCCGACCTGTGCGAGGACCTGCTGCAACGCCAACTTCGATCACTTCCCCAAGCCTGTGAATCATCCTCTATGCATCAGTCAGCTCTTTTACGACAACGTCACCACCTGCCTCGCTTCCAACTGCACTGAGTACGAACAGGGCGCCTACGCTGTCGTTGCCGAGATTGAGTGCCCCAAGGACGAGGGTTACGAGGTCGACATTGATAAGGATGCCGTGGTGGCTGACCTGAAAGACGCGGGAGGAACTCCACAATCTTGTGAGGGTATCAACAACGAGACCATTCAGTGTCAGAATGGCACATCAGAGAATGCTGGAGTGAAGATAGTTGGAGAAGTTGGATTGGTGTTTTCGGCTGCCACTATTGCTAGCCTTGTCGCCGTTATGGCTTTGAGCCTGTAAATAATGACTTTCCGGTTGATGAAAATCCAGGGATTACTATATTATACAGGCCAAGATGACAAACCTCAATAAACATGTATTATTTAAGTGTAAATTTAAACTTGTATATAATATTCTTAAGCCTAAAATCACTTGTTATTCGTAATATTAGTTTCAAGAAAAATGGCTGTTTGGTTCTCAAGTCTTACAGTATCGCACAGCTTATCCGGACCACTAAGAACTTGCTCACCCACCAATTCGTTAAACGTTTGTTTCCGAAAAGGTCAGAAAGTATCCGAGTGAAGAGAGAAAAGAGTCCGAAGAGACATATAATGACTAGGAAACCGCCAGACCCTCCCTGCGTGAGAAGATTTGCAGGAATTGTTCCACCTTATGTTCCCCAACAGTCAGCCAAATATTCTGTGAATAATTTATCCGGTGGCTTGTTCCGTGACTCGCTAGATCTTCCATCGCCAGCTCCAACGAGAGTAAGACAACATGGCCCACGCAAAAGCCCAGGACGAGCTTCAGAAGCGTTACGAAGAAGGTCACAGTCTCTGAAAGACCCCGAGGGGGAGTACATGATCACCCAGGCGGATAAGATGATGGGAAAACCGGCACGGATGCTGATCGCAAAAGTAGGGCTAGATCATTCTACCACTGCGAGCTTTAGTCTTCTTGACCATGGGTGTGGCACAGCTCTGCCTCGAATCTCTCCCCTTCCAGACGTCGTTTCCAGACCCGATGCCGGTTGCCCTTCATGGTAAGCCGGAATGGGCAGAACCTGAAGGCATTGAAGGGGAGCTAGTCCGTCACGGCTTTGTTAATATCAAGATCGAAATTGTTGATTCCATCCATCCGGTTGCCAATGCCGAGGGCTTTTTAGCCTCGTTTGGAATGATGGTGAAGTGGACAATCAACACTTATTGGACCTTGGAGCAGAAGGAGCAGTATGGAGATGATTTCTATAAGATTCTAGCCGAGCATCTCCGGACTAAACATGGTGGCAAAGGCTGGGACTTGAAATCAACAGCTATACTTGTTACGGCCCGGACGCCGCAGTAGTTTACATGCTGAATAGTGATATCTGCTTTTTAAGCCCTTGCTAAATGCCTTGGCTTGAACTTAATACTAAATATATAATAATTTAAGAGAACCGGTTACGAAACCCCTATCTAATTTTCCCCTTACTCCAAAGTTAACATATTCTCGGGCATAATATCCGGATCCCCTATCTGATGCACAATGGACAAAAACTCCTCCGACGAAATCCCAATATTATCAAGAAACTCCATATCACTCGTCATAGGATTCTGCACACAATTCATCGGAACCTCCATCCCCAGCGTCTCCTGCGCCAGAAGTCGTTGCTGCTCCTCGTCGGCCTTTCTCGCTAGATCTTCGTCTGTTACTGCGAGGGATAACGTCTGAAGACCTTGTTGCTGGACTTGGGCCACGAGCTCTTGGCACTGTGCTTCGAGATATACGAGCTCTTGCTTTCGAACGGAGGCGAGGCGGTTGCCGCGGGCGATCATGTTGTCGAGGAGTTGGTGGATTAGCAGACGGCAGCCTTGGTCGTCTGCTACGCCGGGGAAGAGGGCGGTTGCCATGTTTAGATGAAGGGCGGCGCCGAATGTGAATTCGAGATCGTAAGGGAGAAAAACCTCTGCGGGTTGTAAGTAGAAGTTGAGGAGGGGTATGGGCTGCGTACCGAGGAGACTATACTCGCTGGTGAGGATTTGGAGTGTCTTGACAGCTGATTTTATACCGGTTGAGATTACGGCTGCTGTTTGGCCGAGGAAAGCTTCAGAGTTTTCATTGCCTGGTTGGCCGAGAATGTCAAGGCGTTCTTTAAGAACTGAGAGTAACAGAGGTCTTGTGGCGACAATAACACACTAGCAATGTTAAAGGTGTAGTTAAGCCAGGACTGCATGACTCACCTGGTGGTAAAGAAGAGTTATGTACTTTGTGCCTCGGGGCATGGTATCTACCGAGTTTTTGAATTTCAGAGATATGATTCTTTCAATTTCTTGGGCGTGATGAGCAAGCGTATGGAGGATTGCCTTGGTTTGCTCGAGGAACTGGTCAAGTGGCGTTTTCTCCGGCTTATAAAGTGCTTGAAAGGTCAAAAATCGGTAAGGGATTCTTGGGACTTGACTTACTGGTTAATATCACGGAAAGCAGATGAGACAGGTTCACTTGAAGACTGCGAGCGCTATCATCTTGTGACCCAACATTCGGTGGGTTGACTGGTGTAGAAATGTCACTATCTTGAACAGACATAGGAAGTCCCAAAGAAGACGAAAAGTGTCGATCCATGATGTACAACGTCCACCATAAATCACGACAAGAAGTGACTGTCTCACTGCCGAGCTCACTGTCAGGTAATTGAGTATGCAGACCCTCCAACTGAGCTATTCGAATAGCCTGGCCAAGCTGTCATATCGTCAGTCATGAAACACAAACTCTTCGAAAGTACCTACATATACGTGAGCAGACTCCCTCTCATCAATCGAATACAAATACAAGCCAACCATGGCCAAAACCTCTATCGCAAATAAGCTATCCTTCCAAAGAGCCGTATGATCCGGCATTAGACCCATCGCACGTACAAAGAACTTTGCACCGGGGGGTTCCTTGGATGGGAGAGGCTGGGAGGAGAGGAATGCTGTTCCAAAGGCTAGAATCAAGAGAAACTTGACATACCAGAGGCGGTTCTCCTCTGCCTTGCTCTGCGCGTCAGAATAGAAATCACGGATCTGATTCACGAATTCTACCTCGTCGAAGAGACGATACGTCTGGCCCAGGTGGAATTTGAAAGTGTGGAAAAGATAGATTGCGTAGTCGAGGGAGGGGAGGCCGGAGACGTCGGCTCTGTCCAGTTGTTGCCAGGACAGCTTGTAGACATCTTCTTCGATTAATTGGGGTGGTATGTTGAGACCGCCTGGCTGTAGCTTATCGCCGAGCATGAGCATGAGTCGCAGAGTAAACGACCACGTCGACCAAGGCGCAAGCCATACTATTATATGTCAGAATGTCTCTCATAAACCAGTTCTTGCACTCACTCCACGTGCGCCTGTTCTTGCGAGTGTTCTTAATGATCTTGGAGGGTATTGTAAACGCACTCGGCCAGATGGTTAACGGCGACTCGCCGGTTTGTTGCGAATAGGACGAGGTAGCTGCATCTTGAACGGACGGGTCAGATTGTTGTTGGGAGCCTACCGTGAGCGCAGGAGAAGCAAGACTGGTATCAACCCCGCACTGACCATTGACATCGTTTCCAAAAGCAGCATCGTTAGTGCGCTTCAATCCGGGAGAGTAGCTATCTCCTCCAACTTGAGATGATGATATTGGTGGCGAACAATATGAGGGGTGAGAGTTTTGAGAGTGGACGGATGCTGCGTCCATTGATGAGCGGTATGGAGGTGGTACTGAGGCCGTGGGCGGTGAGCGATATGTAAATGCTGTGTCTATTTGTCCTGCATTGTCGAAGATGTTATTTGACGGTGAGCGTTGTTGCTGCTCTACTCGCTTTTGAAGATCTTGGAGATATCTTGGGTTCGTCAGTGAGGGTCAAGATAAGGACATTTGTTGACGAACTTCTCTGATACCATCACCTTTGCACCTCCCTCTGTAAAGCGACATTGCACAGAACGTCGCTGACAATTCTGACACGGATCCTCGCCAGAGCATTTGATCTTGCTCTGTCTACACGCGACACAGCTATGACGCCGTCAGCCCAGCCCAGAAACATTCTCAGCCACCTCGCAAGAGGGGCATGGCATATAGCTCAAACTCAAAGCGGTGAGTGGCATGACATGACATACGCATTAGCTGTTCTTCTTGTCTTGCGAGGTTCCTTGTGCGCGCCTGATGCCATTATCTTACGATGCGTCGAAGAATCTTTGGAAGCTCCAAAAGGAAACAGTAATTTTTTTTCTTTGGCTGCAGTGTCTAGAGTGTGTCTTGGGTTCCCCTGCAGTTTGGGTGTGAGTGCCACTGACCCTAGCACCCCCGCACAGCACAAATGCCGATCAAGTGATTGGCTTTGACGTGGCCGTTACCGGGGGCGACACTCGATGGACTACCGGACTTGGTATGATGCATGATGAGATATTGGGCTGCTATTGCTATTTGAGACATTCTAGAAGGATTAATGAAACATCAACTACACCTATGCTTGGTCTGAATTGACTTGACAATGCTCTATGAAAGAATAGCTTGTTTTCTTGGCCAACGGTATATACAGCAGTTAGACAACCAAGTATTTCCAATCCCAAACGTGACCGGCCCTCGCTCGCTGGAATGCCGTGGCTAGATAAGCCCAACCTTCCCCCTTGTAACGTCAATGAACAACACACTATCGATCCCCACAATATGCACTATATCCCATTGGTCACTGGAACAAAGGGCGTCTGGCCACGGGATCAATGGTCCCAATGAGGAAATAATTCTTCACATCGCACATTAAAGCGAGGTCGGCGTCATTCATGACGATCTCACTCACTTATCATGTTTGTGGGTGAGATATTCGAGGGGAGATTGCAGGGATCGGGAAGTTGGCCTTTCCGATTGGTGAGGGAGTGAGATAATTACTCTTTTGGAAATGTTTGGCGGTGCTAGTGTTGATAACGGTAGGTTTGAGATATTCATATTTGGGCCAATTGTTTGATATGGATTGGTAGCATGCATGATAACGGTTGCAAGGGGGAATAGTAGAGCCCTGGTAAGACAGTTTGCACTAATTATTATTGGCTTATGCAATTCAAACCCCGTTTTGTGATAATGCTACTAAAGGTAGGGTAATTTGAAGGTCGACGGCTGTTGTTCCGCAGTGCATCTTGTTCATTGCAGGACGCAATTAACTTGTCCTTATTAGCAAGTATCCTTCCAGCCTACAAATATCATTGATGTAGCTTACAGTCTTTTGGTAGTGACATTTGAGGGACTATCAGGTAAATTGACCGGACAGTCATCCGACTCGATCCGGCGCCCTCTCCGCAAACCCAGTTCTCCAGGGTCCGCAGATACCCCAACCGTGCACGAACTCTTCCAGAAGTTATCCATGTTAATATTACCAGATGAAGCAGTCTCAGCCGGCACGGAACGCTGAAGAAAACCGGGGGGGTTAGGCTAAGCGACTTGATCTCCACGGCGGGGTAGAACAGTCTTCAGTCTCGGGTCGGGCATCCGAACATAGGATCATGGGTCTGGGTTCAGGACCTGGCTATTGTGCTTGAGACCATGGGTTGGAACTTACTTACAACGAGAATACTCTTCATTTGAAAGGAACATAGGACTTGGCCCTCGTTACCTTTCGACTCCATAGAAGCCCCTAAGCCATCGGAACAGGAATTCTGCAGCTTACAAGGACATTCTATCTCTCCGGGACATATCCGTATAGAATCAAGTATCATCATGCTAGACCTCCTCATAATCGGCGCCGGCTTCTCTGGCCTTCAAGCCGCAGTCACCGCCCAAAAAGCTGGTCTATCCATCGCCATCCTCGAAGCTCGTGACCGAGTTGGCGGTAAATCCTGGACTGTTCCCCTCAAAAACACAAATGGTAAAGCAGATCTCGGCGCAGCTTGGGTCAACGATGAACTACAGCCCCTCGTTTGGTCGTACATCCAACAATTCGGACTTACGGATCAAATCGTGAAGCAGAGACTTGGCCATAAGGCTGTGGTGGTCAGTGCAGATGGGGAGAGGATTGAGTTCCCTTTTGGAATTACGCCAGATGTAAGTTATGGTGCATGGTGTGATTTGCAGACTTGGGGAACGCGTGCTGATTGGGATAGTTTACGCCTGAGGAGAAGAAGAACCTTGAAATGGTGAGAGATCATATTCAGGCTGAGTCTTTGAAGCCTCATGGCTTTCGGAAAGAGGATGATCAGATCAGTTTAGATCAATATGTTCGGAATCTCGGCGGGGGTCCCAAGACTCTTGCGATGGTGAACCTTTGGGTGAGGGTGATGCATGGTCTTGAATCGACTGAAGAGTCTGCGGCGTGGTTCATCGAATATTGCCGTACAAACCATGGCCTTCTAGCTATCCGAGCAGATGACCGTACAGGCGGTAATTACATGCGTCTCAAATCTGGAACACAATCCATCGCCCAGGGAATCGCTCACCTCATCGGCCATGAGAACATCCACCTCTCAAATCCCGTTTCCTCAATCGAACAAACCAAAGCCGGTGTTACCGTGAGAACAACAACTGGAAAGGCCATAAAGGCCAAGAAACTAATCATCTCGATGCCTTCGGCTCTGCTCAAAAAACTCTCCTTCTCACCCTCTTTACCTGAGCGAGCACAGGAGGTATACAACAACACAAAGCTAGGTCATTATAACAAAGCTATTGTATTTTACAGTAAACCTTGGTGGCGCGATGGTGGCTTCAATGGCTTTTTTATGGACTTCCGCGGCCCAGCCTGCGTTGTACGCGACACCTCTTTCGACGACGAAGGGATCTACGGGTTCACCTGTTTCGTGAACGGTCAACCCGGTGAAGAATGGAGCAGAAGGACACCCGAGACGCGGAGAAAGATAATTCTTGATCAACTGGCGCACGCTTTCGGGTCGTCGGAAGCGTACAACCCGCTTGAGTTTGTGGAACAGGTCTGGCAGAATGAGGAGTTTAGTCGTGGTGCTCTCGCACCTGTTACCAAGATTGGACATCTAGCCAAGTATAGAGATGTTTATGGTAAGCCGGTGGGCAATATTTATTTTGTGGGAACGGAGTATGCGACGCACTGGAAGGGATATCTTGAGGGTGCTTTGACATCGGGACATGCTGGGGCGAAGGAGGTGATTGAGGCGCTGAAGGATCAATCTCTGCAGGCAAAGCTCTAACCCGGGAGCTTTCGCTGATTCTCGTTATGGTCCAAACGGCTAAGCGTGTTTTTAATGTGAGATTGTTGGTTCTATTGCTAATGATGAACCTTTCAACACTGCTAGTGTGCTATGTTTCTTGAACCTATACGACCCCTATCAGCCCTCAGACAACCATTTTACCGTTCCCTCCGGTCCCCTCCGAGAGAATTCTCCCTTACATCATTCATGAGCCCGGCCTCTGCAAAGATCCATTGCCTGATGGCTGTGTGGTCTACGCTTGAAGCATTAGGGCTTGGATCAAGACGCATCATCATCGCAAGCAACTTGATTTCAGTCTGTAGAAACATCTCTTCAGGACCGGCAACCCGAGAGAGAAGCACGACAAGCAGAGCGACAAGAGTCTGGAGGTTTTCATCGGCTGTGGAGAGATTCTTCTTTTCTCTTATGGCAAAAAGATTTGCAAAGTGGTTCTGATATGGTTGAGCGAATCCCTCGGTGCCCGTCAAGTTCATATGGCTCGAATAAAGTAATGCTATGGCGGTCATGACGAGGTCGTCGGTCTTGGCGAGGGGGACAGCATATTCTTGCCACTTCTTTCTGTCTCGGGTTTTTATCATGGGAAGAATATGATCCCAAACTAGGTAGACGCGGTTAGTGACTAAAGTCAAGATCGCGGGGGAAAGAACTTACAGATCCGTATGAAGGATCGTTCACATGGTGTACGGTGCTCCTAGCCTGGGTCCGTAATCTCGAGAGCATTATCTGGCATGGGGACCTGAGGAATAGGCATAGGCTGAAGAGATGCATTTGCGTGACTTTCAGGTTCCATGCTGAAAGAGATAAATTGTAAGTACCTAATCTGGTGTGTTGTGCTGAATGGATGAAAAGTCTGCGTTGGAAGCCTTGACAAGATCCCAAGGTTTCCATGCTGGGTACCTATTGAGCGATCCTGCCCTTTGAGAAGAAGGTGCTCTAAGCTCAGCATCACTTCCCCCTAAAGTTATCATAAATTGTAAAAAAGAATATGCCCAAGACTTTTAATGACTGAAGATAAGGGCAATAAAGATTCGTACCTTTTTCGGCCTAGTCGACAAGTGTGTAGAGAGTGTTTGACCCAAATCTCCATCTCGGTTTGGGGTCTGCGCTCAAACTCAGCATCGGCTTCTAAAGCCGAGATTCTCGATAGCGGTAATTGTTCCATTCGGCGGCGCATCACGAAGGAAAGCGGCGGCCAGAACTTTGACGGAATTGGTGAGGCTTCGTCTCCTTCCCCTTTTGATCAGCGTGTCATCTGTCATCATCGGCTTCCCCGCATCACGAACTTTCCATAAAATAACAATCTCCAACTCCTGATCAACCTGACACCTTCGCATCTCCATCCCAAGTCGGACACAAAAGATAATTGCATTGCGCTGCATCTGGAGACTGCGATATCTCACGCCGAAGTATCATTCGCCATCGCTGTATAACAATAGCCGTCACCAACTTCAGTCGCTGGCTCACCTGCATCAGTCACCGCTTACGATGTCATCTCTCACCTCAACTCTCAAAGATCCTTCGCTCCTCGTCGAGAACCGGCCCTTCATCAACGGCGAATGGCCTACCTTCGCGTCCGCTCAAACCTTCCCAGTCTATAACCCCGCGACAAATACCATTATCGGCTCAGCACCAGAATGCACCGTCGACGACGTCAACAGTGCCATCTCCGCGGCTTCAGAGGCCTTTCCCCTGTGGCGCGCTCAATCAGGCCGCCAGCGCGCAAAGATAATTCGCAAAATCGCAGAGCTACTCGCAGAACATAAATCCGATATCGCAAAGATCATCACTGCGGAGAATGGAAAGGCCAAAGCGGATGCTGAAGGGGAGGTGATGTTCTCAGCGGGGTTCTTTGAGTGGTTCGCGGAAGAAGCGCCGAGGCTGTGCGGTGATGTTGTCCCGCATTCGCAGCCAAATTCGAGAATTCAGGTAATCAAGCAGCCCGTCGGTGTTTGCGGTTTGATCACGCCTTGGAATTTCCCCTTGGCGATGGCTGCGAGGAAGGTCGCTGCTGCGCTTGCGGCTGGGTGTACGGTTGTTCTCAAGACGGATGGTGTGACGCCTTTCTCGGGGAATGTTCTTGGTGTTCTCTCTGAGCGCGCTGGTCTTCCAAAGGGCGTTCTTAATATCGTCACTGCTCTGGACAACACACCGAAGCTAGGTCTTGCGCTGTGCGAGTCCGACGTCGTCAAGAAGATCTCCTTCACGGGCTCGACCCGGGTGGGCAAGATCCTGATGAAGCAGTCAGCCGATACTCTCAAAAAGCTATCTCTAGAGCTTGGGGGCAACGCACCCTTCATCGTGTTTGACGATGCCGATCTCGAGACCGCGGTTTCCAGCGCCATCATTGCCAAGTTCAAGGTCACTGGGCAAACATGCGTTTGCGCCAACAGGATCTACGTCCAGGAAGGCATTTACGACCAGTTCTCCGAGCGCCTAATTGAGGAAGTTGGCAAGTTCAAAGTTGGCAATGGAGCCGACCCTTCAGTGACACATGGCCCTATGACGACAAGTGTGGACAAGGTCGAGGAGCATGTCAAAGATGCCCTCAAGAAGAAAGCGACTCTTCTCTTAGGCGGCCAGCGGTTACCCGATCTCGGAAAGAACTTCTTCCAGCCGACAGTCCTGGGCGATGTTGACGATACGATGGCCGTGACTTACGAAGAGACATTCGGACCACTTGCGGCGTTGACCAGGTTCAAGACAGAAGACGAGGTTATCGCAAGGGCAAACAAGTCCGATGTCGGGTTGGCTTCCTATATCATGACAAATAACCTAGCGAGATCGTACCGCGTGCAGGAGAGATTGGAGTTTGGCATGGTGGCCATCAACACAGGTGTCATCTCAGATTGGGCTGCTCCGTAAGTGCCAACACTTGTTAAAGAGGATTAGTGACTGACTGTTTGTAGATTTGGTGGTGTCAAACACTCTGGTATGGGGCGTGAGGGCAGCAAATATGGTGTTGATGATTACATGGTTCTCAAGACAATTGTCACTGGCGGCATCAATACTGTGTACAACCCAAGGCTGTGAAGAAGGAGCATCTTGGGCAAACATTCCCAAGCAAACGACATCGTAACAACAATTCTGTGACCCATCAAGGTTGCTTCCACTGCATTCCACGTCATACTCCTGCAGTGAATGGAGTCATTGAGGCTATTGTTGCGATTGTCTGCATGAGCTGCAAACGACACTGGCAAGGACTGACAGCATATCAATTCTCAAATCTGCCAAATCGCATCGTCTCCTCTCCCAAACATCTTTCCCTCAACCCTCCTATCGACACAAGAAGACCAAAAACGTCACCACATCATCAGACATGGCTACCGACAAGATGAAGTCGTCCCCTCTGAAGCCCTCAACCCCCATCGCCATCCCTCCCGGTCGAAATCGCGCCTTTACCATCGACCAGCTCCCTCAACACCATCCTCCCTCCCGTCGCTCAATCCTACCCGGAACTCCGAGCCCTCAAGGCTGCACAGACACCGCTCCTCCCGATCCTCGCAAGACTGTCAACCCGGAAGACCCTCTCCGCTACGTCGACTCTCTCAAACTCCAAGTCGTCCGCAACCAGCGCGGCGAAACCCTCGGCCTCAAAGTCGTCGACGTCAACTCTGTCAAACCTGAACGAGCAAACATTTGTGCCCATCTTCATATCGGCAAAGAAAACTCTGGTCTTGTGTTTGATGTCGAGAGTCCCGAGGCGATGAAGGAGCTGTACTCTAAGGCGTCGTTGACGATGGCCTCGGACAGGATTATGGGCATTTTGTTTGCGCCTCCTGGGGCGGAGGCTGGGGGTATCGCTAGGGATGCGGATTGGTCTTTTTTGGACGGGGATGTTGGAGGTAGAGAGGCGAAGGAGGAGAATTTGAAGGAGGAGAATGTGAAGGAGAGTAGGGATCAGGGCCGGTCAGATGCTCATACTCTGCTTCCCTTGCATTTGAGGGATCTTCATCTTAAGGATTGAAGAGTTTCTCTGGTGGTTGATTGAGGAATGACAAGATCGCTGGCGATTACGGAGGATACGGTTGCTTTGTCTCGGTGGGAATTTGCCCAAGAATAGCTGTTTGATACAGCCAAGTGTCTGCATTGGAGCAGGAATAAAGAACACTGATTCCTGCACGCCAATCTCTCCCAGTGATTTCGATACCACTACGGTGATATTCCCTTTACTCGTCATTTCGATGCATGATAATTATCTGTCTCGCCATTTGGGCTTGTCATATCTACCCGTTTTGGAGGCGCATCAGGCCATCACAGCAGCTATCTGTTCTTATGGGCCCTCTGGTCATCATGAGGTTGGGAACTGGTAATGGGCTCGAAGACAGCGAGCTTGAAGTCCCCGATGATGACAGCTTGTCTACAGGCATGAGTCAGGAAGAGATGATTAGGATCTTTGGTTTTGATGTTGAGGAGTGGGGAAAAGCTGGAGGATGGAGGAGATGTCAAGAGGCGCCGGAGGTGATGCGAGTGGTAGCGAGAGGAAGAGCGAGTAATTGAGGGTAGGCTTAGCAAGGTCATCACTTCACAACAGCAGAAATACAGCAAAGCATTAGCGGCATGATCTGTCCTCTCCTGTGGCTTGACTACCTATCGTCTCTGCCTCGTCGTTTTCTGCAGTGCTTTCAACTTGTGCGGGTTCTCAAGCCAGACACTGCCCCGAGGCGTCCTCATGGAGCAAGAAAACATAGGACCTGAATATAAGGTGTCAAAACAAATTCAGTAAAGACGTCCTAAGTTTATACTAAATTACCGAAGCCTTTTTCCCACTTAGGATCAAGGTCCTGGGTTTTGTTTCCTCCCCTAGGGCGTGCATCAACGACCTTCGTCAGAGGTGACCAGGTCAAGTGTAGCGCTTGTACTACCGACACGAAGTACTTAACATGCTACCTTAGTGCTTGAGTGCTCGAATCGGTATGCCCGCCTGGAAGACATATGCGTGCGTTGTAGGGGAAGCTCTACTTGGGGGTAGAATGGGTGAGTGATTGAAGGACTTCCGCTTCTGACTGTGAGTATGGGACTGCTGGCTGAATGTAAGACTTGATTGAGTGACGATACGTCAATTCTGGTACTGTTGTTGCAGTGATTTGGGCTTTGTCACGCTGTGATTGCGACGTGATTACCAGCCTGTCGCTCATGTATATAAGTTATGAGCCTTGCCACTGTCCATGGTCACTCCTCATAGCAAGCACAGCAAACACAGCAAACACAGCAATACACAGCAATATAATACAGTGACTACAAACCTCTTCGCACCACCTACAACTACAGAATGGCTTCTGCACAGTCAGTTAATCAGACGATTTACGCCATAACAAAAGAAGGCGACGACTTCATCCCCATGACCGCTCAATGGACGTGCAAATCTGGTCCCATACAGGCCCAATGCGGAAAGATCAACAATGATATAACGACCAAGCAATGCCAGAGATGTGGCTTCGTACGCTCTGATGCTGTCGCACACGTCGGGGAGAGACTTGAAGAGGGAGTAAAGGGGAGGTGTTGGCAGATTTGCGAGATCAAGGCTGATCTGACTGAAGTCTGGACGTATAACTTTCGTCGTGGAAAGAGCGAGTTTTGGGCTAAATGTACTTCTCATCCGAATAATCTTCAGTAGGCGAGGTGAGGACTTGATTGCTGCAACGGAATTGGTTTCTCTTTATGGCGCAGTGAATTCGAATGTTGTGAAGTAGATTTGTTATGTGTTTGAGATCCGTGGCTGAGCGTATATCACTATAAGGAACTGAACAGTCCTCGGGTAGCAAGAAAACATCAGACATAGAAACAAGATACTAAATTAAACTCAGTAAAGGTGTCTTAAACCTATCCTCAGATTCTGTTAACTGAACTAAGTCTTTTTATCCTTTAGGATCAGTGGTGAGTTTCTTTTCTCCCCTGGGCAATGAGCTTGCATGAAAGAGACATTGCCACTTACACTGCGTTAATCGCTTATACCATATATTACCTGAGGATATGCAATTGATTCAGACTACTTACCATGTCTGTGAGAAACACATCAGCTTTTACTGTGGATACAAGAAGGTGAGTGAGAGGGTGTCATGGCAGAGTGATTGTGCCTCAACGGCTAAGTTGTCGTGGCAGCTATTCAAGCACTATAACTCTCTGATTCGTGTATTTTCAGGAACTGCTCACATCCAGCATGTATAAGTTGAGAGTCTTTCCCACCTATCATCACTCCGAACAACACAACACTCAGCAATACAGCAACAACTATCTCTCTGCACCACCACTATACTACACCTTTACCTATACATAATGTCCTCAAAACAACAAGATCCCCCAAACTCATACGCGGTGACTGAAGAAGGCGACAGCATCCCAAAGAACGCTAAATGGACATGTAACTTTGGGCATTCTTTTAAGCCCTCCAAGAAGGGGTGCGAAGGGAGAAATGAAGATATAACGAACGAAATCTGTTCGAAGTGTGGGAACAAACGTGCTATTGGTTCAACAGCGGACCTTGGTGAGACGAAACCCGGCTGTAAGAGACCAGAGCCGCTTTGGATGGTCTTCCGCGAGGACGATGGCAGTGAATTTTGGACAACGAATTTCATCGATGCCTGAGCTTGGGAGGAAACTATCGTGGATCTTTTTCAGCTCTTTAACTACTAGAAAGAAAATGTGTTACTTTGACAAATGTATCTGCTTGCTTGCTATCTCGTGACGCTGTAATCTCGTGATTAGTTGGAATGATGTCCTGCGCCTATGTGTATACCTCTTTGAGCCAAAGCATTGCCGAAGTAATAGAAATCAATCATCTGTTGTTTTGTGTCTCCAGAGACTCGATTAGTACACTGACTCAGATCGTGGGCAGGACAGTGGACTGCCGTATGAGCCATTCACGCTTCCCCCTTTGTCGTTCAAACACTGCAGGTTATCCCGTTACACTGAAGAAAGTTTGTCTCACGTCTACACACAGTGATTCAAGATGTTGGACTGTGAACAAAGAGCTCGGAACTACTCTCCAACGATACATAAAAGTCCCAAACTTCCGCAGCTTGCTACACAGGGCATCAAGCACTCCAAGTCACACAAACACAACAACACACAACTATCATTTACTTCAACCAAAATGAGCAAGCCTACTGAAGTCAATATCGCCTATTGGCTCTGCATGAACGTCAACTGCATAAAGCAGAACGATATTGACTGCAAGAGATGTGAAGTGTGCAAAGCCGAACTTGCAAAGGGAGCAAAGGCATTGGATGCTGATATTGACGATATTGGGGAATGTGAGGGGATTGATTCAAATGGGAAACCAGTCTGGAACCTTCACGAGGCAAAGACTGTGGACCTTTGGGAGGCGAGGGCCAAGAGCACATATGGCTGGGATTAGTGGGTGAGACCGGACGGGAAAGGACAATACAGTCACAATTGACCTCAATATCAGATACAAATCATGCTTCCCTCCAATAACTATGTCTTTAGTGTCGAATGATGAAGATGGGACCTTCGTGATCGTTCTATGGATTGCGCACCAGACCGTGACTTGCCGCGCAACACTCGAAAGGACTGCCTCGAATATTCAGTGCCGTACAATTTCCCCTTATGAACCTCTTTATCACTACACCTTTTCAACTCCAATCAGTTTCATTGCTTACAGAGACGGTGATTGTCCCCATCCTTGTTCTATATAAGTCCTCGCAATGCACCACCTCGTGTCGAAGCAAGCAACCGACAAACAACCAACACGTATCAAACTCCCTTACAACATACCATGGCTCCAGTCACTGCCATTCGTGGTGATCATACCATGTGGCAATGCATGACCACAGTCAACGACGAGTACTGCCAAGTCAACAACATGTTTGAGTATGGCCAGGACGACAAAGGTTTTGCCATCAGAGTGCCAATGCTAGGATGTCCCAAATGCAAATTAGGTCGAAGAATCGGAACTTTGGCCTTGAGGGATAACTGGGATATAATCGGACACCTTGAGGATTATACGTCTTTGGGTGAAGAAGTCTGGGAATATGATGTGCCTTATGATGTCGATGAGCCGGGTCCGGTTCTGTATAGAACTGTTGCGAGTTTACGTGAGGGCGATATCACGTATGATGATGTTGTCAGTGATCGAGCTGCTAACGGGAATTAAGAGGCAATGATCCGGATGCGCACGATGGGAGAACTTGGAGATATCATGATACGAGCTCATCTTGAGGCAGAGTTCCAACGGGTTTCTATTATGGAATGCGACTATAGTCTACTTCATATTGGTTCCGATTCACCTCCATGTACAAATACCCTCTTGCCACTGGACTACCATTCCCGAGGAGACGCCATTTAAGTCTCCAATTCGTAATGCCACATCTCGACGCTATCTATATCTACACTCCCAAGAACTCCAAGTTTGAGCCCCTCTCGAGTCATTGCATACGCAAATCTAGGCTCGCGAATAGAAGCGCACTTTCTGCACTGGTTTTCCCACATAGCCATTGTTGTATTGCAGAAACCCCCGTTTCGCTCGGGCCTCACGCACTTCCAATGTGTGTGATCGTCGCGGACGGTTGTTGTGCGTTCCATAAGAGGCATTTTAGGTGGTGAGATGGACTTTCAAGGTCTTTATATGTTTGTGACGTATATGTGATTGTTGTCTATTCGTGTTCTGGATTGTCTGGGAAATGTTGGGAGTTGGCTACTGTAGGGCCAAGGGAGAATAGTCAAGTTTATAACGCTGCTTTCGTATCTTCCTGAATCAATGCCTGCTGCACATAGTGCAGCACTGCAAAGGCTGTAAATATGTAGCTTATCACATCACAAAAAGCTCTTATCAGCTGTAACCTCAGGTCTCTTCACGAATGGAGTGCACCATGATGAGAATCGCAAGCTTCGTGCCAACTGCATCAAGAGCCTCCGCATCTCTGACTTCTCTTTTCCAATCACAGATAATTAGCATCTTCGTATATTTTGGTTGTCGATGAGCATCAGAAACCTGCTGCACCTCTATTGAGTAGGTCAGCGGTATTGGTGTAACACGAGTTTGCAGAGAAGTATTTGGAAGTAACACGAGAACTTGCTCTCGGCGGCTTACGTCTGTTATGACTAAGCCATGATTCCCAGCTTGACAGTATCACGATAGCAAGCATGTGTTTGTATAGTTCAGTCCATATACTTCAGCTATGAAGTCCCATTTGCTGTGATACTATAATACCACATCTCCCTACCCTCCGAGTCAACAGAAGCAAGCACTCCCAGCATATCACCATTACTCGCCAGGGCTGTTGAGCGGATCCCACGGTCTATACCACAAACACTGCAGGTCTTCTCCGTCATTGGATTCCTTGCTTCGCAGACGTTTCCGTTGACAAGTTTGTTGCATTGCCAGTGAGTGTGATCACCACGGACTACGGGTGTGAGCGTATTGATAGGCATTTCAGATATGTTGTGGATGAGTTTGCAATTTGGCACTACAATTTGAAGAAGAAGATCTCAAGCGGAAGTTCGGGAGTGTATTGAGTGTATTTTATAGTATCCGTGTATACTGAATCAGGGGTTCTGCGGCCGGATATCTCTCTTGGTCCAACACCCATCAGCTACAGCCGTTCCTGATGGTCTCATACTGCCAAATCGCTTCACGGTCTGGAGTGAAATCTACCACCATCCCAAGCGGTTGTTCATCGTGTGTCTCAGCAACCGATCCCTCCTCCAGGCCAAATCCACATACAGTGCAATGTTCTTGGGTCATCTCAACTCTGGTAAAGCACGTTTCGCCTCGCTCTTCGTGCATGCAGCGCCAGTGAGTGTGGTCGTTACGGACTTTGGTCGTGAATTTGTTATCGATATCAGGTCCAGGCATGATTGTGACGTGATGATGGTTTTTGTTTAAGGAGTTGAGTTGTTTGTAGTTGTAGTAAGATGTTTCTGTGTGTGCTGTTTGGGTGAGAGTCACTGGGCGAAGGGAAGCTATTATACCTGACATTGGCTATTGTTCAGGAGTATTGTTCATTGTCAGACAGACATTCTTTTACTGGGCTCGTGTGCGCTGAGCTCATTCTATCCATGAATCAGTAAACTACAGACAATGCATCACTATTCACCTAGCTACCTATGTTCACTGCATAAGTCTAACCTTCCAGCTCACATTCCCCCCATCACAACGTCATTGTCATTGTCAGTGTCAGTGTTAGTGGGCTCCTCGCAACTCTCCTCCTGCAGTTCAGGGAAATACTCCCACCACTCCTGTATTCCCTTGGTGATACTGACAAGCACGCCAAGGTACATCCCATCCTCGGTCATCGCAGCTGCGCCGACTCTGCGAATACACCCGCATTTCGTGCAGAGTCGCTCGCTCATCTTCATGACCTCTTGACACTCAATAGGCTTACTTTTGTCGTCGGATTTAGCTTCCTTGTCTTTGGGCTCAACTTTCTCGTTGCACTGCCACTTAGTGTGCTCTTTGCGAACGACGAGTGTTGAACGGCCGGGTTCGATCCAACGGCTCAAGCGTCCAGATGCGAGGGCCTTGAAGTGGCGGCGGGTAAGCATGACTGCAGTGTGTTGGTGTAGTGTTTAGCAAGTGTTGAGGTGCAAGTTAAGAGATGAGAAGAAGATTGAGGAGAGAAAATTACTCGTAGAGTCAATTTATAGTCTTTTTCTATGCTGGATCGCTGAACGCCGATATGCCATGTTCCCGCTATCAACCCCGAACAAGCTCAAGTGTGCACGCCGTTCACTTTGAGATTATAGTGCCATTTCTCTGTTCCATCAGCCTCAAAATCAACAAGGCTCCCCAACACATCATCGTTCTGAGCAAGAGCAACAGCGTTCTTCCCGCGCCGTTGTCCGCAGTGTGTACAGGTGTCGACGTTCATGCTCATAGTGGCAACGCATCTGGCGTGACCTGGCTCATCGATCATTTTGTGGCATTTCCACTTTTTGTGGTCACCCCGAATTTGGGTTGTTGTCTTTTGAACATTCTCCGACATTGTGCAGATGCAAGTGGTGGTGTTGAGATGTGGATATTGGTGAGGTATTGGTATAAGTCTGGGTAAGTTATTGGTGTAAGTGAGTGCAGGGTTGAGATGTTGGTACGCCCTGTAGTTGATGAGTGAGTGGATAAAAGGGTGAAAAGTCTGCCCAGATATATACACGAGTTTATGCAAGTGATTGTGTGGATGATTAGTGATTCGCAGAAAAGAGTTACACATGAATCACATTCAGTGCACTCAGTAGCAGTGACTGCTCTTGCTTGCGGCTCAAATGACCACGAGCCTAACAAATACTGGGGAAGTTGCAACTCAACAGCTACACAATCAGTGGAGTCGCTAAATCGTTCATCAATAAAGAAGGATTCTGTGAGTCTTTGGACATATTCCCTGCAGGATTGTCATTATGACGCTGAGTTATATTTTTTCTGGGACAAATCTTGATCTCTTTATGCATGTAACGCTGACAGTACCCCAGCAAACCTATAAATAAATGAATATGTATCACATTCACAGAGCCTAAATGCCTGTCTTTGTGATGTAGCTCTTCTTTGGGACATACTCAATGAGATTCGCAGTCACCTTGTCACAATAGAGTGCAGTTTTCTCATTACAGTCTCAACTGAATAGATACTAATCTCAATGCTTAAATATTCCATCATTATATTCGCTTAACGTTTTGTGGAAAGATGTAACGATGTTAGTGTATGCGAGTTCTGTCTTGTTGGCGATTGGGACGGCATGCGCTAGGCATTCTGGTAGTCAAATGGTCTTCACTTAGGGCATGCACAAGTCTAGATGTTCAACAGCGCTCATCCAAATCAATTCTCAATTGGCAATTGGCAATTCTATTGCGACAATATCTCATCGTTATCGTGGAGATGATTGTTCGAGTCCCTCGTCTCGATCATTTTCCCCCCTCCGTCCCCTTCCCATTCGCACCACGTCGAACTAGCCTTTTGGGACACCATGCCCAGACTTCTTCCTTTATCTTGGCCAATTGCCCAATGACATTTGAGTCTTTATCTAAAGCCGATGTCCCAGGCTGACGGTCGGTGTTGCAATGACCACATGCTTGGTAAGCCAATTCGTTGACGTTTGCACAGCCTATGCATTGCCAGTGGGTGTGTTCGCTTGCTCGATCCACTTCGTCAGACATTTTCGTTTTATATAATGGGATAAGCTCTTCGATGTGTGAATTTGATGATGTTTTTGTGCTGTTTGTGTATGTGTGGACTTGCTAGCAGGGACAAGGAGGACCACTTATACCACCAGTTGGCGATGGGCTGAACTACGATTGAATCACAACCGTGGCGATTGATTCACTTGCTCTAGTACTGGATTCTGATGTCTTGTAGTGATTGTGCCTGAGAGATGCGTCGCTTCAACACTGTTCACGGATACGGCCTTTGTTCAGAGACAAGGGAACTAACTCATCACGGCCTTCATGTCCCAGCTAACCAACAGCAGCGAAATTTCTTCAACAATTGGAAGTTCAATTCTCGCCTCGACTCATCACACAACATCCATATACTTCCAAACTTTTGAGTCAAGAACAGTGGCAGTGTCACAAGATTCACGACTTCAGAGAGGAGCACAGCCTTTAGGTAGAACATGTCGCCTTTGACTTGGGATTATGTTCATTAGATGGTTAGTCACAATTGAGGACGTGTTACAAGTCAAGCTTAACCTGTTCTATTCTTTATCTTCAGAAGTATGATATCTAGGATGGGCTTTTCTGAGCAAACAAAAGCATGCGTGGCCATGAGCCATGAGAAATCCTGTCCATCTCCAAGCCTGCTGATGTCCGATGCCAGAGCGAATAGACGTTGTAGAGATAGCAGTCCAATGCCTCCCGTGACGCCCTGCTTACGTTCGCTCCATCAATCCCACCTCCCATAAGTTCTCATTCCCTTCTTAGTCGCTTTGTTCGTAGTTCCTCAACTCATAGCGCCTCAATTCATGGTCGTTCGCATCGTCGCGTAACATATGGTTGGACCGTCGTTTAGAACTAGACAAAGTACTCCCAGATCATTTCTTTATACGTAGAGTCGTAGCTGTAGAGATTCCCGATGTGTTGGTGGTGTTCATCCACGGCCCTCACCTTGTCCACGCCGTTGATCTCGTAGCCGCACATGTGGCATTTCATCTGATCGACATCGACGAGGGTATTGCAAGTCTCATGACGGTTGATAATCGTCTGACATTCCCAGAATTTGTGTCTGGGATCTGGTTTGTTTTCTTGACGCATTGTGCAGGATCGAAGATGTGGAATAGATAGGACTGTGAGGATGGCGATGTTCGTGGGATGTGTGCCAGTTGTGTTTGAGCTGGTAGGTTGAACATAGCTTTCCACAGAGCGTTTATATCAATGGAGACTATAGACTGATCGATAGGCTCATCACTTCAATTGAGGTCAATTCACTCTCAACGACTGCTTGGCAGTTACACTGAGGATAGGCTGGAGCAGCTATTCAGCCCTGATATGTGACTCTCCTTCAGAGACAGGAGAGCCCACTCTCACAGAATTTTGCCCAATTGATTGACTATCAGTGACAATTCTTTAACTCAAGAGTAAAAAAGGGATAAATAATATTATTCACAGAAGCTTGGGAGCACATTCCTTCAGTCTGCCTTGAGTCTTTCTCGATCCACAAAGAAGTCATTCACCACACCAGCATTCTCTTGGCTGTTGTTACTACCAGTGGGATCTCCTACAGTCTATGTATGCAGAAACGAAGTGGACTGATCGCCTTCATCTCCAAGTCCGCACAAGCACGGTCGTCTACAAGTGCACACAAATGAAACAGCTAAATAAGCAAAGCTCAATCCGTTCTATTATTTAATGTCTAGAAGCATAGTCCAAGACAGACTTGGATGAGCAAGCAACAAGCATTCTAGTCATTAACCATGATCCATCCTAGTTACCGAAACCCCACCTTCAAACCTCCTGATCCCCAACCCCAAAGTGAACAGACGCAGTTGAAGTGTCGAGTCCAACGTCCTCCATGGTTCCCATTGATGCTAGCTCCATGGGTTGCTCCATTCGTAGACTATCCGGGAATCGTGCCTCTGGGTACAGGCGCATTGTTACCGGGCGCATCCTCCACAATTGGACCTCTCTTGAGAAAATGGGAATAGTATTGCCATTTCGCTACACCATTTTCGAAGCTGTCGAGATACCCGGTTTCCATTTCGTGAGCATCCGCGGCCTTCACCTGTATCTCACCGTCGACTTCATAGTAACATTTTCGACACATCAGGTCGTTGACGTCGTTGTACGTGTTGCACTCGGTGCCTTTGCCGTCCCCTTCACAGATCCAGGTCTTGTGCTTGTCGTGAACGGTACTTGTAGGAGGTGGCTCAGACATGATGAGAAAGGGAGTATGGCCGTGTGAGGATGATGAAGATTTTGAGTTGTGTGTGTAAGTTGTGTGTGTGTTTGAGTTGCTTGAGCTGATGAGTTGAACTTGGCCATCCAGAGACCATAACTTATACTCATGAAGACCAAGGCATTGCCCATGGGCTCATCACTACCATGCTGGCCGACTCACCATCAGCGACTACTTGACACTGACAATGGGGCCACGACACAGCATCTATTCAGCCTTGCGTGGGGTGTTGTTCAGAGTCAGGGCATTTGCGCATCACAGCGATCGGTCCAAGTGGTCAATCATCAGTGACCAGCACTCGACATACGAGTGAACAGGGACACGCTTCCTCTTCCGTCATGCTCTACCGTCACCACGGGAAATATCCTTCGACTTCTATCGTTATCGGCAAATCTTCACTACTATTCCCCGGGGTATAAGAAGACTTCTGATGCGAAACTGGAGTATTGGAAACACGCAATCTTAGATCCTCTAAAGATATATAAAATCAACCAAGTTTATCTAGGATCCTCTAAATCTATGTAAAATTACCCAAGTTTACCTAAATTTACCTAAGGCTTTGTATCACCTTTATAGAGGTCCTAAGTTTTATTGCATCCCCTTGTATCATTGTGCATGGCCTCACTCTCTCTCAATTTTGACCCTGCCCTCGGAAGGGTTCACTCGAAGACTTTGGACTTTCTCAGATCTAACGAAAGTCATTCCTGCCTCAAAGGGAGCATGCAAGATTGTTCTGGGAAGTCGCTGTCCTGAGACCGTCGGCCTGGGTGCTGCAGGTACCAACATCCTTCTTCATCTCAATTGAATCCGAAAACTTGTTCTTTTTCTCTTCATCGCACAAGAAGTAATCTTATGCCTCAGACATTATGTACCCATCTCCACCTCCTGTCGCCTTCCAGGGCGCGCGCCTCTTCATCGAGAAGATGAATCAACGTCTTGAGCAACTCTACCTCCTCGGTGTGCTGAGGGTCAAATTGCAAGCAAACGCAGACGGCCTACCCTCATTCGTCGCCATGCCTGACAGGCCTCTCCACTTTTCGGTACCAACTGATTATGACCGGGTGTGTGCGGTAATCGCCATCATTGAATCAAGAGACAAGGAGCGCACCCACAAGGCTTAGAAAGATCTATCCGAGGAGCTTCAATCCTTGTTTACGGCTGGAGCAGAAGATATTGCTACGAAAGCCATGGAACAATTCCATTCTGTCAGCCTTCAGATTTCAGCAGATATCAATGCCATGCACGATTTTCTGGCAAAGTCGACCACCAGTGTCACGGCTCGGGAACTGGCGGTTGCTGGCGACACCCTTACTAGGTATCATAAGACTATGGCCCGCATCGTTAGATATGATGATCGCATTGTGGTCGGCGAAAACTCCCCCAAACTGATCAACGATTTTTGCAACGAAATGGTCAAAGCAGGATTCGAAACACAACGCGCTTATGCCTTGGGGTTTGTGGCACGGGCAGCCGAACATGTGGAAAAGTTCCTTGAATGGCAACTGAATGCGGATTTGTTGATGTCTATGAAACAGGTGATGTTTGGTTTCGTCGGGCCATCGGGTGATGAGGAAGTGCGCTCGGAACAAGAGGTTAATTGATGTCTTCCGATTCCCCAGCACATATTTCCCCAGAAGTTATTAGACACGGCCTCCAGAGCGAACAAAAGGCCCTTCATCGCCATACTATAGCGAATCAATAACAAGCATTTTAGAAACGAATCCTTACATGTGTTTAAAAATACTTAGTCATAATCCTCTAAACTATACTAAATTATACTAAGTTTACCTAAGACTTTTTGTCACCTTAGATAGAGGTCCTAAGTTTTGTTGCATCCCCTCCACTAGTATACATAACGGAAGCTCAGGTTCTCCTTATCCGTAAGATCCTCCCAAGCCTGCCCCGTGTAAGTTGAACTAGCCTCCCCAACACCCGACTCAGCCAATGCATCGCGCTTCTTATTCTCTCGTCGAAGATGCCATCTCAGAGCAACTATGACGATGACAAGAAGACAGTAACAGCCAAGATGAGTGGCGAAAGCGATGAAGTAACGAGGTCCATCGTGGGAGAGGAAGACCTGAGGACCGATTGCGTTGCCAGCTGCCCAGACGATGAAGTTTGTGGCGACTGCGACAGTCTTCTTTGTTTGGCCGGCGATGTTTCGTGAGATCATGGAGAGGGCGAGGGTCTGGGCGGACCAGAATGATAAGGTAATGTAGTATGAGATTAGGAGACCGATGTGTTGGGCTGTTGTCTTGTTGGGGAGTGTCATGAGGAGGATTGTGCCAATGAAGGAACTAAGTTGTTAGCGGTGATCAAAGATGGAGAAGGGAAATAGACTCACGGGATACAGAAACCAAGCATGACCAACAGGTTCTGGCTCGTCTTCTTGACAAGCCAAGCTGACGACAGAAGCACAATGACGATGTAGAAACCCAACACCATGGCCAACAACTGCGTCTCAAGGGTACTAAACCCAAAGCTCTTGATAATAATGTTCGCAAACGCACCAAGTCCCGATGTAGGAAGTGTCGTGCACAGAGCGATGAGAGCATAACCCCAAACCTGAGGATCCTTAAGACCCTCGATGAACTGCTCTTTTTTGAACGTCTTGTTCTGAATACCAGTCTGGTTATCGCGCACACGCTCAACCATCTCGTGCTTTTCCTGCTCAGTCCAGCATTTAGCTCGCATCGGTGAATCAGGCATCCACCATCCGACGAATACGCCAAAGACTACGGAGATGACGCCGTAGGAGAGGAAGAGCCATTGCCAGGATTTGAGGGGGCCGGTTTTTATGAGGGAGAAGCAGTAGGCGAGGAGACCGCCGACGATCTGTTGGGCACCGTTCATCATGTACCTTGGACCAGTTAGTGAGATGCTGCATTGGGAGGTGTGAGGTAGGCTTACCAATAGGTGACTCGAGAGGCTTGTTCCTCGCGACGGTACCAAATGGCTGAGAGGATAACGAAGCATGGCTGACAGGCCGACTCAAAGATGCCAAGTAATGTTCGTACAATTACAAGGCCCTTAAAATCTTGACAAGCAGCGTGACAGGCCAGACAAGCTCCCCAAGCAACGATGCAGAAGGAGAGATATTTCGCAATAGGGACTCGGGCAATGAGCCAGTTCTGAGGGTATTCGACAACGAGAATAGCGAGGTAAATACAAGTCGTAAGCCACGAGAACTACAGCCCCAGTCAGCAACTAACTCATCAAAAACAGAAACGGACGATTTGTAACTCACATGCTGAGACACAGTCCCATCAGGATTCTCCAACCCCGTATCAGCAGTCAACCCCATAATCGACGCAAACGACAGCGTCCCCTTATCAATAGCCTGCAGAAAATACGTAAAGATCATAATGGCAAGGACTCTCTTGTCAATCATCTTTCGCAGCTCCGCACTCCGCTCAGGCGAGATGTTGATACGCACGTCTGAGACATACTGCGCGAGTTCTTTGTCAACTCGCCCAGAGTGCTGGGTTGGCTTTTCGAGATCTTCGACCTCGTCGACGGATCTCTTGCGCTGGATTTCTGAAGCCATCTCTATCTTGTAATCGGGGTAAGATTGAAGATGAGAGGGTCAAGAAGATACAGAAAGGGGGGTTGTCTTCCTTTTATGGTACGGTAATGGGGCGGGAATCTGGGGCCCCAGATGTCAACGTTACAAATACCCCATATTGCCCCAGTTTCTCTACTCCAGTCAAGATTGGGTTTCTACACTGTTTATCTCGTGGGAGTTTTGTCCGAGGCGCCGAGTGAGATGGATGATTATCTACAAGTTACAACTCGGCAACGCGGCATCTTCAGGGTTTCGTCACTGGGATCCGCTCTACAGGATAAATAAGCCCTGGTTAAGGTATGCCAGGGACGGGTAGGATCAGCGGATGACATGACTTGCTGGGTTATTTGAGGACAGGAGGCTCCTGTGTTGACCCGTAAGGAGTGGATGGTTGCATGGGAGCAAGATATGCTTCTCATCAATCTGACATGGCTTCTGGTCTTTATCTTGACGGTCATAAACTCCTCTGAAGATCTACTAAATCCATACGGAGTTTACCTAAAGCTTCACGTACCTGGGGATAGATATCATAACTGACATCTCCAATTCATCAAGACCAGATCCAACGGCAATAGTGACGATGCTGTGCCTTACGCCTCAACGTAATCAGCCGCATCCGTCCCGTCTCTTGGCGATGGATTTGGAGAATCCAAGCAAGTAAGCGGCTCTTTTCGAATTTACTCCGCACCTTTAGAAAATTTTCTCCGTCACCGAAAGGCAAGGCGAAGCGACGGGCAGCGAAAGAGGAAGACTTCTCCGCTGACCTGGTTTTGGCTCAGTGGGGGGGATTTAAGGTAGACCCACTGAAGATCCGAGGAAATGCACTAAATCCGCGGTTTTCTTTAGCGGTAAGCCCCTCACCCAGTAAGTGATGGCTTCACACTGCACTTACACAGCCAGATGACAATTGCCATGATGAACTCCGGGCTCAAAGCCGCGATTCGCCGTGACACTCCCCCAAATGTCACTACGTAATCTCATCACAGGCCTCAGCTGAATCTCTTCGTCTCTCTGTCCTTTACTGGAATTGGTTGACCACTCCGCCCCCATCATCAACCCCCAGTCTCATGCCCCACCCCCACAACCAAAAAAGTGCGGAGAGATGAAGCTTCAACCTCATGATAGGCGCCCTCGGTGTACTTCGGACCGAGCATGTGGACATGCCAAGAGAATCATTGGGATGTAACGAGGGGTTATGAATACCCTCATTCATCCTCATCTAACAACTCATCTCTCTTACACAAGATACCCTGTTTCAGTAGCAAGATACCCCCTCAGTCACCGCCATCATGCCCTCTCACGTACACGACATCGCGTCGCAAGACGTCCACAAGCAAATCCAGCAGCTCATCCACGAACTCGTCAACATAAAAGACACAACAGGCGAATTCCTCATGACCCTAGCAGATGGCCGCATCATCGACACCAAAGGCTGGAACGACTGGGAATGGACCCACGGCATTGGTCTCTACGGAATATGGAAGTACTACGAGATGACCGGCGAGGACCAATGGCTCAAGATCATCGAGGATTGGTTCCAAGCCCGTTTCGCAGAGGGTCACAAGGGGAAGAACATCAACACCATGGCGGTGTTCCTCACACTCGCGTATGTCTATGAAAAGACGCAGAACCCTACGTATCTTCCTTGGCTGGATGCTTGGGCTGAGTGGGCCATGCATGACCTCCCCAGGACAAAGTACGGTGGCTTTCAGCATATCACGTACCTTGAGGTCAACGAGCAGCAGCTCTGGGATGATACCCTCATGATGACTGTCATGCCGCTTGCCAAGATCGGTCTTGTGCTCAACAGGCCCGAGTACGTCGCCGAAGCGAAGAAACAGTTCTTACTGCACATTCAGTATCTCTTTGATACAAAGACTGGATTGTTCTTCCACGGATGGACCTTCAAGGATGGCGGACATAACTTTGCTGATGCTCGATGGGCGCGCGGCAACAGCTGGGTCACCATTGTCATCCCCGAATTCCTCGAACTCGTTGGTATCAAGGAAGACGACCCCATCGGCTCACATCTCATCAATACGCTCGATAGCCAATGCGCCGCTCTGGTGAAGACACAGCGCGCAAACGGTCTATGGAGCACCCTTCTCGACGTCCCTGAATCAGAGGGTTCGTATGTTGAGGCCAGTGCGACAGCGGGTTTTGCGTATGGTATCCTCAAGGCGGAGCGCAAGCGATATATTGGAAAGGAGTACTCTGAGGTAGCTGTCAAGGCGATCAAGGCTGTTTTGGAGAATATTAGTCCTGAGGGAGAGTTGTTGAATACTTCGTTTGGAACGGGCATGGGACATGATTTGCAGCATTATAAGGATATTCCTAGGACGAGTATGCCTTATGGACAGGCTATGGCTATGATGGCTCTAGTGGAGTTTTTGAGGGCGTATAATTAGATGTTGACAATGGAAAAGTAATGAAATTGATTGCGATAATGAATCGTTTTATTTGCGTTTCATGATGTGCATATGGAAGAGGTGACTAGCCAAGCGTACAATTTCACTGGCCCTCCTCCGTTATCAAATTGCCTGGGGTACCATCAGACTTGAACGTACCCGTAGTCTTCAGATTCCTCGAACTCTCGCCCACGGCAATCGTGAACTCTCCATCCGTAACCCTCCAATTCTGCGCCTCCACATCCCAGTAACTCAAGTCCCTCCTCGTCAGTTCAAACTCAACCGTCTTGCTTTCGCCCTTCTTCAGAGCAACCTTCTCAAAACCTCGGAGAACGCGAACAGGATGGTCAACCTTTGATGTCGTGGGGTACGAGAGATACAACTGAGGAACAGCCTTGCCATCCATGGAGCCTGTGTTTTTGACGGTGATGGAGGCAGTGACGACAGTCTTCCAGAGATCAGGATTACCGCCTTCTTCGCCTCCAGCGGGTGAGGGGGGCTGCTCGATATCGTAGCCGTCGGGGTATGGATAGTCGCCCTTCTTGATGTCATCAACTGAATCAATGTAGGGATAAATCCACTTCTTCAGCTTGCGAATGTTGTTCGGCCATAGACCCTCCTCGACATC